CTGTGTTGGGGTGCGGGTGCTGGTCTGCGGCGCCTCGGGCTCCGGGCTCCGGGAGTGCGACCCGGTTATGCGGGGCTCCGCGTGAGCCACCCGCGTGCTGTGGGGAAGGGGATCGTGCTGCTGGCGCTGTGCTCGGGAGCGGTGCTCTGTTGTTTGGCAGTACTGTGAGTAACTGAAATGTGTTTCTGTGCCGGTTTTGAGGGCTTTGGGATTGCGTTTCTTTGTGGCTTTCAAACACTCATAGGGAGTACCTGGAAGTTGTGACTCCGTTGGTAGTTTGCCTGTGTTTGCTCTGTCAGTGGCTCCCTCACAGGGGGCACTGGTGCAGGGGCAGCTGTGAGCAGGGCCGGGCTGGGCCTCAGGGCCATGGGGCAGCTGGCAGGGAGGGTGGCGTGTCCCAGCCTCTGTGAGAGGAAGACCAGCAGTCCCAGGTTTGTGTCTCTTAAGAAACTTAGTCCTGTGAAGACCTGTGGTCACGTATCTGCTTCCACCATTTCCAAGGCAGGATGAACATGCACGTGGGGTGTGCCTTATGAGTGCTTGCTTCGGTTTTTAAAGATCCCGTATAAATAGCCCTCGGAACGCCTCTGTCAGCACTTGAGAGCTGCTGTACTGGGTTAATCTCACGTACAAACTCTCTCTACCTGTAGTTTACAGGAGAGTGTAGGGAGAGGAAAATACTCTTTTCCTTGAACTCCCCCTCAAGGAGCTTCGGGAGTCCTGTCTCACGTGAATTTGCCCAGTTTCTTTTTGAGGCCTCTTTGAGCTCTCACAGCATCCCATGGCAGGGAGTTAACAGTTGCTGTGTGACTGGTTACTTCACTGCCTCTGCTTTCCTGCATCTTCAGCAGAATGGTCCTTTGGCTGTGTCCTGGTTTTGGCTGGGATAGAGTTAATTTTCTTCCTTGTGGCTGGTACAAGGCTGTGTTTTGGCTTTAGTCTGTGAACATTGCTGATAACACACCCACGTTTTAGCTGTTGCTAAGTAGTATATACCCTGATCAAGGACTTTTCAGTCTCATGCTCTGCCAGTGAGGAGGGGCACAAGAAGCCGGGAGGAAGCAGAGACAGGACACCTGACCCCAACTAGCCAAAGGGGTATTCCATACCACAGCACGTCATGTATAGAAAGTGGGGGGAGTTGGCTGGGAGTGGCTGAATTTTAGTTTCTCCTCTCTGTTGTTTGCTGCTATCATCTCAACCTGCAGGTGTTACTTTCTTTGAATTCTCCTCCCCATCCCACGTGGGGGTGCGGGAGGTGGGGAGGAGTGAGCGAGCGAGTGGCTGGGGTGGTAAATAGCAACTCGTTTCGCATCGTGCACTGTTGCCGATACTATGACTACTTTTCCTGGTGAGCCCTAGCAGCCTGTTCGTCTTCTCAGAACTGCGGAGCCGAGAGGGACTATGCTACAGGTACTGTTAGGGCTTCATAACTTGATGGGTTATAGCTAGTTTAGAACCATTCCTTACGTAGACATGAGCAGCTGTTTCAGCCTGAAATTCGGCATTTTGAACTGGACTGTCTTCTCCAGTCACTCTGTAGATAAGTATATTATGAAAATAATTGCAACTGCCTTTAGCTTTGACCATTCTGGTTTGGTATTTCAGCGTGGATTTTGAACCTGAGGGACTGAATGACATCTTCTCAAATGTTTTTCAAATTTTCAGATGGCTCCTTGAATGCTGCTTTAATTCAAACTCTGTGCTCTTGGAGCCCTCTCAGTTGGACGGTTTTCGGCACTTTGCTGTCACACATTTAAAAAAAAAAGTATTTTCCACGGTTAAACCCACCAATTAAAAAAGTACTGGAGTCAACACAGAGCCATAGCGAATACATGACCATTAAGAAAAAATTAGTACAGGGTTTTAAAATATGGGCTTCTTTTACATCCCTTGAAATACTTTTGCAAGTCATTATTGTGACCGATGCATCAAAATAGGCTGGAAGGGGTCTGGGGAATGGCACCATCTTATTAAGCAGACCCTTGTGCTTTTGCTTTTCTCAGGGAATATATTTAATACGAATGCTAAGAAGGTAAGGTGCTTTCATAGGGTGGTAATGCAAATGATGAGGAAGATAAGTCATCTTCCTTTTCGAGACTCTATAAAATACAGCTGGAACTGAACATGCTCTTCCGTGCACCCAGATGAAATTTCATGCGAGATACTAAATACTAAAAGCTGCGAGAGCAAATACTTCACCATTTCCATTGTTTGTCATATGATTGTTTTTAACGACAGCACCTTCTCCGCAGGGGAAGGATAGTGTGTGAAGTGGAGGAATAAGGTGACACATTGTCATTGGGGTTACTCTTCTGTTCAAGTAATACTGGCAAAGATACAGGAAAGAACAGAAAGCAGAACTTCTTCATCGAAGCATAGAAAAAGCTGCAGCTGTTTGATTCCAGAGGAAAAATGTTTTCAAGTCCTTTCAGAGTAATAAGCAATTGATAGAGAAACATTATCTGTGTAAAAAATTCTTAAGTGTTTTTAACACTTCATGGCTCAAGCGTGTGAGTTTTATAAACTTTTGGTTTGTTTTTTTTTTTCCCAAACCAAATGTTAATTTGTGTTTGTGGGGTGGTGGTTCATAAGTAGAGTGGAGCCATCAAAATGGTAAGATGTGACATAGTGGAAAACCAATTGAATGAGTCCAAGGGGAGAGGCTCTTTGGTGTATGTGGGGGTCAGTACTGCTGTGGCCACAGGAAGCCATGGCACAAACCAGAGTGGCTGCCCAGAGCTCTCTGGAACTGGGCTTCACCTGCAGCAGTCCCGGGCAGGCAGGACCACCCCTGAGGGGAAACATGGGGCCTTACTGTCAGCATTGCAAAACACCAGTGAAATATTTGTGTCTGTGGTGCCAGAACGTGCCCCAAACTCCTCTGTGGCTCAGGTTCCTTACAGGAACCTTCTCCTGGATGTGGCCGTGTGGGGTGTGGGCAGATGCAGCAAGTGCCAGGAAGTGAAGGAAGCTTTGGGCTGGGTAGAGAAAGGGTAGCAGAGCTGCATGGTCCTGCAGCACAAGCAGGAAGAAGCGCTCTTGTTCAGCACAGACAGCTAAAGTTAACGTGAGGTTTGAAAGGAGAAAAGTACTTTTGTGAAGGACAATATTGTGTTGTGCTTTAGGAGGTCGTTTTACCAAAGACAGCGCTGAGCAGCCTCCTTCAGGTTGGGTTTGTTGGTTTAGTTTTTCCCCCCAGGGGGATAGATGGAGAAAAGCAATTTGCTGTGTAATGCCCTGCATCAGACAGGGTGTAGCTTGAGGTTATAGGGCATCTTTCAGTAAGTGTTTAAGACTTAACTAGAAATTAACAGAAACCAGAAATCAAATGACAATTTTAATAGACTTTTGAACAGAGTGTACGAGTATAAAACACTGGTTTTGTATTTCAAAAGTTGCAGGAAGATAGCCAGTCATTTTAAACAGTCTTCTACAAAACATATGCCAATAGATTACATAAAAGACACTATATACAATTATAAAAGAGCAGAAAACAATCCTCACTGTAAAAATAATTTAAAACAAAGTATTTCAATTTAAAATATCTCCTATAGCACAAACTAATACATTGTGACATGCAAGTGGAAACAAAACAGATTGCATTCTTTAGTGTAGCCAAATAAGAGCTGTATTAAATTTGGACAATGAGATGCAACATGCCAACATTTTTTGATGAATACAGGAAGCTGTTCTTAAATACTTATTAACTGATGTATCTTATGTTCAAAGAACAGCTACTATACATCTTCCAAAATGTAATAAATATTAAAACAAAGTATAGGAATAATCTACATTGTCGAGTTCATTTGGGCCAATGTTGAAGAAGTGGGTTATAGAAGAACGCTGCTTCACTTCCTACTGCACCGTGCAATTTTACAAAATAGTTCTAAAGGCTCAGAAACAATCCACACTTGAACATACGCCACATCCAGTTTTAAGGCAGCCTACTAGCACTTAGATACACAATGTAGTAATTCGAGTAGCTGCTTTGCTTTCAGTTGGCAAGGTGGGGCTAGCAGGTAGAGTTATTTTCCCAACCTAAGGCATGAGCTTGGAGCCATGTGCTTCCAGGTTGGGTTGCTAAGCTGTGCTTTAGCCACTCAGCAGGGCAAGCAGAGGGTCTTGGTATTCGAGATAGCTAGCTTCTCCTGGCTTTGTTGCATCGGTAAGAATAGAGGAAGAGCTTATTTTTTTGTGCCTTCTCACATGCTGGTGGAAACACTATTCTGGACTTGTCCTAGCTTCCACACTGGAGCCTTGGCAATTTAGCAAATGCTATTTTTAATGCAAGCTGTGCTAAATTTGAGTTTTGTGTACAACATGAAAAACTTCTGCTGTGGGGGATCCATTTTGTTTGAAATGCCAGTGTTACAATTGCTGTGGAGCCAGTGTCAGCATCGCTTCCTGCCCAGAGGAAGGATTAAACTCAGTACCCCAAGCATTTTCACAAGACTTCTGGATCAGTCTAAAACCTGTAGGATTTCTCAAGTGCTTGCTGTCCTGTTTCCATTTAACTACCTACTTGCACCTAAGTATGTCTCAAACATACAAAGTAACTGGTAAAGCAAAAAATTAGCTGCCACAGTAGGTCTTAGAAAATGCCAGTGTTTAATGACAGACTAGGCAAGAACGAAAGGTTTAGCAGAAGAGCAAGAAGGTTTTAAATAAACTAAACTGTTACAAAGCAAGAGGTGTGAAAATACCATTCTTTGGTCTAAATTAGCTGTTCCCTTTATATTAGTTTAACATTCCAATGGCTTTTTCAAAACAGTTTAAAAATAATATAAGCTGAAATTCATTAAGCAAAAATACGTATTATATACATGGATGCCTGATCAGACAGATGAACTTAAAAGTGAACATAGTGACAATTGTTTAGGTATTCCTAGTACCTTAAAAAAAAAAAAAAAAAAAAGATGTTAGTGTTGAGTGCACAGTAATAGAATTTTATTGAAAAAGGTAAAAAACTAAGCATGAAAATCTGTTTTTGTTATTTATAAACACTACATCCTTATGTTTCTGTTGTTCTAAATTCAAACGTAAACATTCATTCTGACATGCCAAAGCTCCTAATGCTGGTGGAAAGTTCCTGTAACCAGTCCATGACCACTTCACAACTTGTTGCTCAGATGGTCAGTCCCTGCAGCTGCAGTTGTATAAGCTGATTCATCAGCTGCTGATTCATCCTGTTCAACTCCATCTTCCCCAAATCCAGGTTCCTCTTCCCTTTCTGGAGCATCCTCATCCTCTATGCCATTGTAAAACTCTTCAATCTCACTCTCATCCTCCACATCTAAGCTCTGACTACGACAGGAACCACTTTCACTACTACTCCCACAGGAGCTGGAAGATATGATATCATCTTCGGAATCCGAGTATACCTCAGCACCATGGAAAATATAGCGATTTGGTGGTAAAAAGAGATACTGAGTACCTGGAACAGAATTTTGAAAGTCAGTAAAAGGCTAAAAGAAATTATTCATACAAGATCTTGCAGACTCCTGGTTGGAAGGTACCTGCATACGTGTATTTTTTGTCAGCAAAATTTAACTGACAGATTACATGTATTTATTTTGATCTATGTGTATTTATTAAAAGGCACAAACCAAATGCTCCGCTGGAGGGATCAGCATTCCTTCTCCGCCCTCCCTCTGACACAAAAGAGCATTTAAACTTCAGCGTTCAGCAGCTTTTTTCATCGGTACATGTATTCACAGCTGGATTTCCATCGCTTGTACCAGAACTGAAACCCAGTGCATGGATTATTTGACAAAGTTTAAAAGCAGCTTTTGCTTTGGAAAGTTGCAGTTTAATATCTGGTGGTTCATCCACACTGATTTCCTAGTGTGGTAACTCCTTACATCAGTTAAGAGGCTGCATACTGGAAGGCTTTCTTGCAAACTCTTCAAAGTTTCCTGCAAAATGTGCCTGGCTCCAGCTGTGAGATTTGCTGTTGAACTATCATGGCTTCATCTTTCAGTTCTGCCACACAAAATTATGACCTAGTGTGACCAGCTTCTGAACATGTGAGAATCAAACTAACTTTTCTGAAAATGCATTTGAAAATCTTAGAAACTGACTTATTTTTTGATACCCCCTTTCAACCTCCTCAACTTTGACCTGTTTGGGGAGTATGTAATCACAGATTATAAAACTAAGAAATTAAAAAAAAATTTCCTGTCCTGATTCTCCAAAAGAAACAAATGGTAAAATGATGAGTTAGGTAGACACTTGTCTGAACAAAAATAACCACCCAAATCCACTCAAGGGTAACTTATTTATTGCTTTAAAGTAAGTCTATAATAAACATCTCGGCCAAAAGATGCAAAATGCTGAAATGAGTTACCACTTACCATCCAGCCTTTTGCTGATCTGTTCTTTTGTAGATCTGTTTACCCAGCACTTCTTCAAGATTTCATTTTTTTCTTTATTTTCTCCATTGTTAGATCCATTTTCCTTCATAGTTTCAGAGTTCATTAGTTCACTAGTAGGATTTTCAGGGTTTTCTGGTGATGTCTGTGTGTCCTGAAGCTTTTCCTCTGTGCAGGCCCCTTTAGTTTCTGAGGCAGGATCACAGTTTTCTACCTTACTTTCAGCTGGGTGTTCTGAAGACACCACTGAAGTATCTGGTGGAGTCATTCTTTCTGGTGAACTAGAATCTTCTGAAATGTTTAAAGGGGTAGGCGGTAGCTCAGATGAGGGCATCTCGAGCTCCTTGTGCGTTCGTGGCGGCTTTTCTGTTATTTCTGAAAGTTTTACTGAGTTGTAGCAAAGTTTTGTATATTCACTACCTAGCCTTTGACATAATTCATTAATAATAACATCACAGTCTCCAAGAAGCTCCACATCAAAGTGTAGATGAGGCAAAGGTTCCCTATTAATTAAGATCTGAGGCACTTCATGAGGGATGGAACCTACATGTAGAAAAGAGAATGTCAAGCTAGTCACTTCAGTTCCAGCTTCAGCAGAGATCTGCTTAGAAAGCTTGATTCCTCAGACTTCCCTTCACTTGCAACAAGACCAAACCAGATTGTCAGGAAGAAGACAAGCAAATCCCAAATTCTGGGAGCCAGGCAGCAGTTTGAGGTGCTATGCCTACTGCGGCCTGTCTAGACTTTTTTCACTGTTCTGTTGGGTGGGGTTTTTTTTTTCCCAGTAAAAGGTGTTCATCTACTGAATCACTGAGAAACAGGCACACAGAAGCTTGACTATGGCAATGTTAGGTCAAATGTTTAAAAGATTATTAAAATTAGTACTATAATCTCTTAGAATAATTATGTTGATCTTGTGCATTCATTTTATGTACTTTATGTGCACATGAAGAACATACTGCTGGTAAATGACATCCCCTTAATTAAGTCAAAATAATTCCAGGTCAACACTGTCCACGGATGCTCAATCCATTTCTGATACTTAGGCTTCCAAAAGCCACCAGTTTGGTAAAATAGCATCAATTCCTCAGATAACTAACTAATGAAATCCAGTTCTGGGGCATAGGAAGAGCAATGGCTTGTGTAATAGATCCTAACCTTCCACTCATTATACATTTCCTATCTGCCTAAGCACTAGACTCTGCCTCTTGTACAGCGAAGAGGATGCTGCTACGAAGGCCAGGGATGCAGTACTATACTCAGTTAATAGCAGATGCTAACACATATCCTCCTAAGGCTTGCATGTGAAGAGAATTTCTTTAGCACCAGTAAGTCTTGCACTCGGTAGGCAAATAGAGCACCTGTATAATGGTATTTTCCTAGCCTTCCCAAAGGTCATTTTTCTATATAATGTAACATATACTAGCAGAGATGTTTGTCCATATGATTTTTAAAAGCTAAGGATTCAAATGGTGACATGCTTTGTAATGCCTGCAGTGCATTATTTAGTGTTAAGTACTGACTTTAAAATAAGCTCTAACTCAGACACCTGATGTACTTGATATGATTTTTTTGATACTACATTGATCTTTAAATCTGATTTCTTTCTAAATCTCTCAAGTAACTCTGAAAGGACATTGCCAGCAGGGAGAAAAATGAACCAAATCTTAAAATGAAGTAATTTAAGTTTTAGGAGAGTAGTTTTTCAGATTATCATTTCATTACCTTGATACCTGTCTGGAATGTAGAAAAAGCACTTTTGAGTTCATTACTTTGTCTGGTTTGCATTTCAGCTTTACGTAGGTGATCAGCTTTCATTTTAGAAAACTAGATGCTTAATCTAGTTTCTTTACTAAGTCAAGCCAAAAGCATTTCTTAGAGCTCTTAACTGTGAATTTCACTTTTGATCCAAATTTTTGAAAGAAAGTATTACCAGATAGCCACTTACTTGGAATCAATGCTACTGGTCTTACTTTCAGTGAAGACCCAATGACAATAAGGAGATCAACTTCATTTTTGTCATACTTCATGGCGCGATGGAACTGCTCAGGTAAATTCTCTCCGAAGAACACTATGTCTGGCTTCATAATAGCAAGTGGTTCATCAGGTGGACATCTGGGACATCTAGGTACAACCTGCATTAAAACAGCTTCTATTACTACAGTTCAAGGCTGCACCCTTGAAAACCTCAGATTTTAGCAATTCACAGTGACTTATTTTGGCAAAAGACAGGGAAGTTTCAGTGGTATTTTCTCTTTTCCATTTCTCTGTGGCTATACAGACAAGTACATTTCTTAGCCTAGCCTGCAGCAACTGCACACAGAAGTAAAGCTACAGCAGGAAT